GAAAAACAGCATGTAATTTATTGGCTAAAAAATAAAAGTAATAAAAAAGTGTTAAAAGTGTAGCTTAATAAAACTACAAGGCTTTGATATAATTTTCCTGTGACACAAGGAAAAACAGGAGTTTCTGAAATGTCTCCAAAGCACCTAATCTAGTAGACACATCAACGAATAAATGTATGTTGGCATCGTAGGGTGATAATTTTTTAAGGGGAAAATAATTCACTTGTTCAACAAGGTAGAAATAATTCCCATCCTATAAGATTAATTTAGTTACCACTTGCTTTTAGGTTGTCAAGAGACATAATACTTAACTCTAAGATCTCAAAGCATCTGGGGAAATGGCACACTGACCAAGATCACCCAGCACTCCAGTATCAGAAGAAACTGACATCAAGGTCTAGTCCAGTGTCACATACAACTTCCTACACAGTTAACAGTTCATAGACCAGGTATAAGGTATTTTTAACAAAATGCAAACCAAACACTATACAAAACATATTAAAATTTGTTAATTATTAATCAATTGAAGAAAAATTACAGCAATAAAATTGGAGAAAAACCCAACATATGAAAACATGTGATTCTAACAAAACAATTTTGCATAAAACATTAAATAAATCCGAGTTTCATGTTTTCATTACACAACAGTTCTATATTTTTTTAAAAATCACAAAACGAAACAAAGGGTAGTACTGTAGAGCTCAGCTTTGGCATGTAAGCTTAGATAATTTAACTTCTGTCTCATTTTCTCCCAACTGTAAAATGGGAATAATACTGAAGAAAGAAGTAAAACTCCTGCATATTATGATGATCAGTTCCACAGAAAAACAAATAAAACTGGTCATGTAATCCTTCTGTTGACCAGCAGATGGTACTGTAAATTATGCTGTGAACAGGAAAAAAAAAAACCCTACAATAGGGTCCTTAAAAAGCTTCAATGTATTAATCCAAATTCTTACCTAGAAAAGTACCAATGAAAAATACTTTCAGTGGCACATTTATTACAGGAGATGTTATATTGATAAACCAATTAGGAAGAAAAGGCGTTATTCTCAAAAATATTATGTAGTTAATGAGATGTTCTCTGTGTCGTTCAACCTGTCACAAAATTAGAAAAAAATTCAGTAAAATCCCTGTATTTGAAATACAACAATCTTACTTTAAACACATTAAACACAGCTTATTTAGTGCCTCTGCAGCCTAGTTATAAGCTAAGCTATATATATACTTTTCATTAGTGGAAAATTAACAAAAGCAAAAATAAATTTTTAATATTTAAACAAGTTCCTATTGAAGTATGTGAGAAGGGCCAGGAAAAAAATGTGTTAAATAGTGCTGACGTTAGTTTAGAAATTCTAACTTTTGGGATGGGAGTTAGACAAGTTATATCTGCTCAGTGAGCTAAATTAACTCACGTTTTAATAAGGGAAAAGGTTCAAAGTACAGATGTTAGCATGTAGTTGTTTACAAGATTAGCCAATAAGCCTGGGTTTATCAATTAATCGAGTAAATGACTACATGCACCCTCCCCTTGCTGCCTCTATATTAGAGGTAGTAGGGGGGGGGGAGGAAGCCAGGTTTTAAGTCAGCTCCTGCAGTCACCTATCTACCCCCCTCCCGCCACTTACTACAGAGGCAGCAGTGTGGGGTGGAGAGCCAGGAAAAGCCAGCTTCCTACAAGCACCAACTCCCATGGAGCTGCCTGCCCCCCACTCTGCGCTACTGACTCTCAGGGGAGCAGGCGGGAGCTGGTACATGCAGGAAACCAGCTTTCAAGCCAGCTCCCTGCACATACCCCCGCCCCCTCATAGAGGCAGTAGCATGGGGGGGAGGGGCAGATGGAAGAGCTGATATGAGCAAAGAGCCAGCTTTCTACCTCTGCCAGCTGCACATAGCCATCTCCCCATTTGCTGCCTCCCACAAAGCCAGCAGTGTGAGGAGGTGCAGGCAGGAACCGGTGCTTGGGGAGAGCCAGCTTCCAGCCCTGACAGAGCTGCCTGCCCCCCACACTGAGGCCTCTAATAGAGAGGCAGGAGCAAGCAGGAGATAGGTAATACTGTACACTCAGTGAGTAGCAGCATTTGCTTTAAGGAGAATATACTTGGAGTGAGATACTAGGTGTGAGTTATAATCAGAATCAGCCATTTCTTATTAGGCTTATTGTGAATACCCAAACCCCTTGGTTATGTCTACATCGCACACTCTTGCACAAGAACATATGCAAATGAGGTGTGGCGATGAATATTGCCATGCCTCATTTGCATACTTAATGAGCCACCATTTTGTGCAAGGGGCTTTTGCACATGAAGACATAGTCTACACTGTCCTTGCACAAAAGACCCCTCTTGCACAAGAGCCATTCTGCCAGATGTTCTTGAACAAGAGAGTGCAATATAGATGTAGCCTTATGATTCCATCTTCTCCCATTTGCATTTTCTCATAGCACAAATGTTTACAAAAGCAAATTTACCTGCTCTGACCATTTCACTGCTTTCTCTGTTAAATATCTGTACACAACTGGCCGTCCAACTAAGTACGAAAGCATATAACAGAAAGAGGCTCCAAGTCCAGAACACTGCAAACGAAAAATAAAGTGAGAAGAAATACTTCGCAATTTGTACAACAATCTCTAATCTCTACTAGTTTAATTAGCAATAAAAGGCCTGGCTGCATACAGCTATCCACTTTGGCTGCTTTACAGGACTTTCCTTTTAATTGTTTCTTAGCCACTCCTACATATACATAGATAACAGCAATTTAGGAATCTATTTTTCTTTAACAGCTTTGTTTAGGCAAAAAGATGCATTTGTTTACATCCATTTTGACATGTGTAACAAGATTACTTTCAGTTCCAAAAATGCTAATCACCCAATAGTAACAATATGAATAAAAGTAAAAAACCTCTTAAATGGATTCTAAATAGATTCAGATTCTTCCACTGTGAAAACCCATTACCCTCTAGGGCCCTCAATAGCGCGCTCTCGCTCTCTTCCCTTCCCCCCCCCCATTTTTTTAAAAGAAAACTTTACCCCAAGTTCTTGGAGGCATAGTTTTTTTTTGTTTTTTTGTTTTTTTTAAGAGGAGGACAGAACACTCTCTGAATCCTGTCAATATAATTCAAAAACCATTTTTTCAGCACAAAACTCAGTTTAAAAAAAAAGTTTCAGCTAACCAATGGAAACTGGAGAATTTTTTGGGGAAAAAATGTGTACTTATTGTGATGTATGCAGTATCTCTCCAGTTTTGTAATGTAACAAAAAATACAGACCTAAATAATTTAATCATCTGGTCAGCACCCTGACCCAAACAGCTCACACCAATGACGTCTGATTGAACACTTTAGAAATATGGCCTTATCAGTTCAGCACATTTCCATTGCCTCATTGCACTGTTATGATAAAACCTTCACTCCCCAACCTCACTCATTAACTTCAGGGGTTCATCAGCAGGGATTTTAGAGTGCTCCTAAACCCTGCTTGACCACAACAGCAGTCCTCTCAAATGCCAATTTATTGGAGGACAGGGGGAAGAAAACATACTTACCAGACAAACAAGAAATAAGGCCAACGGGAATGGATAAAGGAACCCTGAGAGGATACTGAGAAATATAGAGCCAGGTATAGCAAATGTTTGCAAGCTGAGTGCTTCTCAGTTAAGGACAGATCACGTTGCTTAGAAAACTTTTACATTTTTCAGTTTAAAAGTGAAGCTAAACACTAGAAATACGTATATCCTCAAAATACTACTGTTGGCATAAGTAGATTACCTTGCCCACCTCAACTTTCACCAATTTAACAAAGTCTTTGTTGCAAAGACATTTTAGTTAAATCAGTGCAAACTGTTTTCTTCTTTCAGATTTTAGCATTACTGTTCATTTGAGTGAAAGGATCAAACACCTTTGGTAAGGTACAGTACAAAGAAGATCAGATTTGACCTCTATAGTCCCAAGTTCAATAGTCCAGAAATGTCTGTGGTCCCACATCCCTGTGGGTGCTTCTAGGTCGCCACACTCAAGGGAAAAGCCAAGCTCCACACTTAGCAATTCCTCCCCCACTCTTCCAGAGTGACCTAAGACTCACAAGCTTGGGGATGGAGGAAGAGGAGAAGTGGGGCTGGGGACACTTGGGGGGAAAAAGAGGCCTTGATGCCCTCCCTACATTCCCACTCCATCAATGCCAGCTGAGAGTGACAGCCAGCAGCAGCTCAGGGTTGGTATTGGATCCCTGGTTCTGGACCACTCAGGTCCCCTGGTTGCTGGACCAAGGAGATCCAACCTGTGCTATAAGACTAATATAAAACCCCTCATTCATTACCCACAGCACACACATACCATTCCAGTCTTACACCACATTTCTTAAATTTTAAAGGGCAGAAAGGATCACTAAAATAATCTAGTCTGACCGCACACATACCACCAGGTGAAAAGTCTATGGCTAGTGTTAATTTCTGCCCAAACCATTAACTGCTGTTTCATATTAAACACCTTTTTAATAGAAGAGCGGCGAGGAGTCCTGTGGCACCTTATAGACTAACCGATGTGTTAGAGCATAAGCTTTCGTGGGCAAAGACCCACTTCATCAGATGCATGTAGTGGAAACTTCCAGAGGCAGGGATAAATATGCAGGCCAGAAGCAGGCTAGAGATGACGAGGAGGATCTAATCAGGGAGGATGAGGCCCACTTCTAGTAGCTGATCTGGAGGTGTGAATACCAAGAGAATGCATGTATTTCGACTACATGCATCTGACGAAGTGGGTCTTTGCCCACGAAAGCTAATGCTCCAACACTTCTGTTAGTCTATAAGGTGCCACAGGACTCCTCATCGCTTTTGCAGGTTCAGACTAACACGGCTACCCCTTCGATTTTTAATGGAAGTTGCCAGAAAATCCCAAACATTGTGCGGTATTACGAATGTCAGTACTAGGATAAGATCAAACACATTTACTTCTGACATATACCAAAATTTGAAACCATGTCTTCAAAAGTTAAGGCCTAATACAATAACCTGTTGCATGGGACAACCCCTTAAAAGTGTTTAATTTTAGTAAGTGACAAATTTGCGCACAAACCAATAGTAATATTGGACTGTCAAGCATAGAGATCACCTTTGTACCCTAAATGTATTCCCTTTTAAGCACCTCTTCATCACAGGGTTCCATGTTAAGGACTACATATTTCTCACTACATAATCTGGATTATATCTTTGACACCCGTAAAGTAAGCAAGTGTATTTATGTGGGCAGGAGGGACTGTAGCACATGCAGAATCTCACTCCGTTTAAGGTGTATTTTTAGACCTAGGTTGTAAAGGAAGCCATCCAAATGCAACCCCAGCAAGCATATAACTGATGCCATGTTGTATGCATGAATCTAAAGGCAACAGTGACTCTCAGTGGTGGGACTTCCTTGTCTAGTATTTGACTGAAGTGTCAATTCAAACTCAATTATACATTAATGTTGACATTAACCATGAAATGGTTAATGAAACTGAGGGAATGGTTGCAGTAAAGTCTGAGGAAATGAGATGCTGCTTGGAAGTAACGGGGAAAAAAAGTTCTTGGGATCTGCCACCAATTCAGTTCTGTGTTGATATGTGGTGGGACTAAAGCCTTGGTCATCTTTTGTTCCTTTGAGTAGTAAGGTAACTACAGCCAAAGTTGAAGGGGCCACAAATAGAAATCTGGAAAGCGCAGTCACATAAGTACATGCCGATGTGATATACAAGTCCAAGCCAAGCCATAACCGGTTTGATTTTATTTCATATAGTAATAGCTACAATGATCGTACTCTGTCCTCTGGAAGATCATGGCTCCTATGAAGACTAACAGTGACAGGATGAAGGACGATTATTCTTGATTCACATGGAAGCACATTTAGGCAAACAAGCAGAATGCACATTTTAGGCTTGTTGCCATCTGTTGCTGACATCAGGTAGACATTGATATTTCTCCTTCACAAAATGCTTAATGGTGCTGACAGCAAACTGAAGATTCACTGCTAATACTGGTAATGGCTTGGCTCTGCTATGGTCCTCAGGTACTTCCTGTGGGCCAGGTGGAAGGCTATGCAGAAACATGAGTACTATAAGCAGAGAGCTGCAAGCCTCTATTGAGCCCAAAGGGATGGAAAGATGGGGGCAAGTGTTACTATCTCCTCTGCTCTAAGAGAAGGGCAAAGGCACCCTTCAGAAAGAGAAAATACCAAGAGAAACATTCCCCTACACTCCTGCAGTACCCCTTCTATGATTTCTAGACAAAGTAACCAAGCCATTCCAGTAGGTTGTGAGAAGTGTTTCTGAAAAGACAGGGAAGAAGCATGTAGGGGGAAAGGCAAGGAAATAGTTAGAGCAGCCAAGGCTGATAATGCACAATTCACACCTGGTGAAGAGAACAAGGGGCCTTCTAAAGGTCAGGGTAGGCTCTAGCTTGGCTTCAGTGTTGTTTCCCCACAATCTCAAACCTGCTGCCTCCAAGAGCATGTGATAGAGAGGACAGTCTCCTTGAGTCTTGGGGGCTTTCAGACGGTACTTGGATTGTCAAGTCTAGGAGTAAAAGGGACCTTTCTTTTGGAAGTGATATATATTTTAAAAAATTCATTCTCTCTCACTCACACTCACGATAGGGAACTGGGGTGCATTCCCCTAGTGATTACAATGGGCACTTAAAATCTTTGAGTAGAGCACTTAAACTGTTTGCCTTTCAAAGGGATGGAGTTCAACAGTCAGATCCTCCATCATAGAGAACTACCAGACACGTGAAATCAAGGCAGTTCATCTCATGGTGATGGCAGCGTCCGATATAACTCTGGCTACCTATAAGGATATCTTTAAACCACTGACCTTTCTTCATGAGCTCTAAGTTGCCTCTTGCCCTGTGGGAACCTTGTCTGAAAAGTTGACTTGCTTTCATGTTACAAGGTTATATTTTGAACAAAGCGAGGTATTTTACTTTAGAACAGAGCTTAGTTATGCAGAGGAATCTGTCTTATGCCAAAGATGTCCAATTTTATCATCTCTTTTTCTGGGATGCCTTTTACAGAGCTGGATTTTTCCTGTTCTGCTGATATCACAAGTCATCTTAGGTTATGGCGTTTCAAAGCTCTTCCTAGTTGCTCTTTTTTACTCCTATCAGAGGAGGGAGGAAGAGTTGTTGGGGTCTGCCAAAGGAAGATTATACCCTTTCCCAGTTCACGCATGCCCTCACTGATAGTAAAGGCAATCCTGTCTGAGTCTGACATCCTGATCTTAACCATAGAATCATAGAGCTGGAAGAGACCTCAGAAGGTCATCAAGTCCAGCCCCCTGCTCTAAGCAGGACCACTTCCAACTAACTCAACCCGGCCAGGGCTTTGTCAAGCCAAGTCTTAAAAACCTCTAGGGATGGAGACTCCACTACTTCCCTGGATAACCCATTCCAGTGCTTCACTACCCTCCTAGTGAAATAGTTTTTCCTAATATCCAACCTGGACCTCTCCCACCACAACTTGAGACCATTGCTCCTTGTGCTGCCATATGTTACTACTGAGAACAGCCTTTCGCCATTCTCTTTGGAACCTCCCTTCAGGAAGTTGAAGGCTGCTATCAAATCCCACCTCACTCTTCGCTTCTGCAGACTAAACAAACCCAACTCCCTCAGCCTCTCCTCGTAGGTCATATGCTCCAGCCCCCTAATCATTTTGGTTGCCCTCTGTTGAACCCTCTCCAATGTGTTCACATCCTTTTTGTAGTGGGGGCCCCCAGAACTGGACACAATACTCCAGGTGTGGCCTCACCAGAGCCGAATAAAGGAGAATAATGACATCTCTGGATCTGCTCCTCTTAATACAACCTAATATGCCATTAGCCTTCTTGGCTACAAGGGCACACTGTTGACTCATATCCAGCTTCTCATCTGCTCCTCTTAATACAATCTAATATGCCATTAGCCTTCTTGGCTACAAGGGCATACTGTTGAATCATATCCAGCTTCTCATCCATTGTAATCCCCAGGTCCTTTTCTGCAGAATTACTACTTAGCTGGTTGGTCCCCAGCTTGAAACAATGCTTGGGATTCTTCCATCCCAAGTGCAGAACTCTGCACTTGTCCTTGTTGAACCTCATCAGATTTCTTGTGGCCCAATTTATCTAAGTCACTCTGGACCCTATCTCTGCCCTCAAGCATATCTACCTCTCCCCCTAGCTTAGTGTCATCCGCAAACTTGCTGAGGGTGCAATCCATCCCCTCATCCAGATCATTAATAAAGATATTGAACAAAACCGGTCGTAGAATCGAACCTTGGGACACTCCACTAGAAAATCGACCGCCATCCTGACACCGAGCTCTTGATCACTACCCGCTGGGCCCGGCCTTCTAGCCATCTTTCTATCCATCTTATTGTCCATTTATCCAATCCACATTCCCTTAACTTACTGGCAAGAATATTATGGCAGACCGTATCAAAAGCCTTGCTAAAGTCAAGGTATATCACATCCACTGACTTTCCCAGTTCACAGAGCCAGTTACCTCATCGTAGAAGCTAATCAGATTGGTCAGGCACGACTTTCCCTATGTGAATCCATGCTGACTATTCCTAATCACTTTCCCCTCTTCCAAGTGCATCAAAATGGATTCCTTAAGGATTCCTTCCATGATTTTTCCAGG